CCAGTTCCGTTGTGAAAATCTGCACCAATTTTTGGGTCTTCAACTTTTGTGATTTTTTCTATTTTCTTGAATACATAAATGTTTTGCTTTTTAATTATTTGGTATAGGATATGAAATAAATTGGTTAAATGCTAAATTTGGTCCCTCAATTTTAAGAAATACACATTTTTGATCCCTTAACAATTTTTTGCATTTTTTTGATCTCTCAACTCTAACAAATGCACATCGTTAGTCTTTTTGTTAATTTCGGCCGTTAACTCTGCACATGTGGTATTTTTTATATTTTTTTTGATAATGTGGAGCTTAAAATTTAAAAAAGTAATGACACGGACATAACATTTTACCATGTTCAAATAGAAAACATTTTCTCAGCATCCAAACAGAAAACATTTTCTCAGCATCCAAACACCCTTCTAGCCAAACAAATGAAAACCCATAAGAATTGCTTCTTTACCCATTAATCACTGCTTTTATGCTTAAGAAATATGAAGAAAAGGATTTCAAAAATCCCTCACAACCTGTAATTTACATAAAAATCTCTTCAAACAAACATATAACAAAAAAAAAAAAAGAAGTGGAGCTGGGTTCACCGGATCTGGGTTCGAGGAACCTAGATGGGATCCAGCGACAAAGGAAGAAGAAGAAGAAAGAAGAGGAAGAAAGAAGAAAAAAAAAAAGAAAGGGAGAAGGTGAGTCGAACTTTTTTATTTTTTATTAAAAATATAAATCATAAACAAATTTAATTTATGAGTTGGCATAGAACACGTCATCAAAAAAAATTCCAAATCAGTACTTTTTAATGTTGTTTTTGCCATGTCATAAAAAAAACATAAAAAATGTCACATGACGGACTTAACGGTCTAAATTGACATAAGGACTAACGATATGCATTTCTTAGAGTTGAGGGATCAAAAAAGTGTAAAAAATTATTAAGGGACCAAAAATGTGCAACTCACTAAAGTTGAGGGATCAAATTTAGCATTTAACCAAATAAATTTAGTATCTTTATAAATCTGCTTCCTATTTGCCATTTTTCTTATTCATGAATAAAGTTCACACTTTTTTTTTTTTTAATTTCTGGGTTTTGAATGTAGAAAGTTCTTATCATATTTATTAGACTTGAAATATACATAATACACTCTCTAGTTTGCGTTAAAAATTAAAAGAAATATCTTCCAAGAAAGTATTGTGGATTTTCCTAATATGCTCAAGAATTAAAGTAAAAAAAAAATTCTTTTAAATGCTAATATGCTTACTATATAAGTAAGTTATTGAAATAATTAAGAAAAATTTGCTTTTATAACATGACCAATTAAATGTTAATACTTTTATTGTCCAACCTATAAAAAAATCATATGTACCATAAAAAAAAAAAGAAGAAAGAATAATTTTTTTATTTCTTTTAATTAAAAACTCTATACATAAAATCAAAATACCAATAAAAAAAATTTTATAACAAAATATAACATTAACCTTTATTATTAAATATATTAAAGAGTGTTTTAAAGCATAATATTTTTTTTCTGATAAGGATAATGGTTAGGAAATTAATAAGAATTAATTGTTAACAACTGATTTTCAAATCAGATAAATATTTCACCCAATCACTTAAAATTTAGGATCAAATCATTAGATTTAAAGTTGGATTCGTATTAAAGCATAATAATAACACAAGTGATGTTACTAGCAGCCTAAGAGAATGACTGAAAATCTCCACGTAGTGCGGCCCAACCGCTTGTTTATTTATTTTATTTATCTCAAAAACAAAAATGCTTAATTGCAATAATCTATTTCTCCAAGAGGCCCAATAATTATATCCAACAAAATTTCGGCCACCCAGATACTAAGCCCATAATTTAAGGGCAAAATCCCACGTTCTGCCCCTGAACTGACTCCATGTCTTCAATTTGAGCCCTTATACTTTTTTAAAAGCAATTAAGTCCTTAAACCTCGCAATATATGCAGTTTGCCCTATTCCTTGTATTTCTTTGATTTTGTTTAATAATGCTTCTCAGTATTTTAACCTTTAGTTTTTATATTTGTTTATTATTATAAAAATATATAAAATGTTAATTAAAATAAATATTAAATATATTTTACATATTTTTTATATATTAAAAAGACAAAAAAATTACTATCATAGCTATAGCTTAATGCTCTTAGACGAAAATGTATATTTATATTAAAATGTTAATTAAAATGAATATTAAATATATTTTATATTTATATATTTTATATATTTTTAAGTCTTTGCCAAGTAACTTTGCAATTTAGTGTTAGCAAAAGGGCAAGTTGCAGAGACCATCATAGCGTTTATGAGTTTACCTGCTTTAAAAAAGTTTGGGACCTTAATTTAAAATATGGGGTCAGTTTAGGGGTGGTTTAATAATGGGATTTTGCCTAATCTAAAATTCGAAAATTGTAGAAAAAACCTACGGGTTTTTGTTCTTTACTTTTTAACCCCTAAACAAACAGATCCCGACATCCGTTCCTGTGCTCGGCGATCTAGACATTCGGTAGCCATTTTTACAAGAGGGAAGAGGCTTCAAATCTCCAAATTCAGTTCGTAAATTCCTCGATCTCGCCGGAAAACTCTTCTCTCCGGCGACGCCGAATTCCGCACACATCTCTTTGGCTTCTTCGATTCTTCGTAGCATCGGTGAATTGAATTCTGGATCTGTTTCTGGATGTATGATTCGGTAGTCTGATCTAGGAGAGTTATAGTAGTGATTTGGGTGGTGAAATGGCGGGGCAGAATCAGGATCAATTCGAAGTCTACTTCAGGAGAGCAGATTTAGATGGAGATGGAAGGATTAGTGGCGCTGAGGCTGTCGCCTTCTTTCAAGGATCCGGTTTGTCTAAACAAGTTCTTGCTCAGGTTCCTCTCGCTCCTATCTATCTTTAATTCCTTATCGCGTTGCATTTCTTTGTTTTTTTTTCTTCCGTTGAATGTCATTGGGGAAGTGTAATGAGCTAACTTGAATCTGAATCAAGTCAAACTACATTTTGGATGGTATTAGGATTAATTATGATTAACTTTCGAATGTTTTCAAGTTATGATGGATGGAAATTCGACACCTTGGAGGCAATTGTATTGTAAAAAGAATTTCTTGGATTGGTGATTTTGATATTTGGAAAAGGGGTTTTTACTGGCTATAATTAACCTCTTGGATATGGCACGTATATCTTTTAAACCTCTTCTTCCGAGGTTGGACATGTGGGGAAGAAGGTTGTGTAGATTGTGGGAGGGAGAAAACTGATAACCTAATTGATCCTGGTATTTAATGATATGGATCCACCTTGATCATTTTGTTCTGTGGATGCAGATATGGATGTATGCTGATCAGAGTCATAGTGGTTTCCTTGGTAGGCCAGAATTTTATAATGCTCTCAGGCTCGTGACTGTCGCACAAAGCAAGCGGGAATTAACACAGGACATAGTCAAGGCAGCATTATATGGTCCAGCTGCAGCTAAAATCCCTGCACCACAGATTAATCTTCCAGCCACACCGGCTCCACAGATGAGTGCTGTTGCACCAACAGCTTCTCAAAACACTGTGTTTAGAGGACCAGGACTTCCAAATGCAAGTATGAGCCAGCCTTATTTTCCTTCTCAGCAAAGTCAGCCAATTAGACAGTTGCATCCCATGCCTGCTCCTACTGGTCCCCGTCCACCTCAGGGAATTGCAGCTCCAGAGTTCTCTAGGGGAGTTAGTATGGTTGGTCAGACTCAAGCCATGCCAACAGGGACATCCCCACATCCAACCCAGGCCTTACCTGGCACCACTGGTTCCGGTCTCCCTAGTCAAAACATCTCTAGTGATTGGCTTGGTGGAAAGACCAGTGGAGCTCTGACTGGTCCAAGAGGGATTGCTCCATCAACACAGTCAGCTGCATTACAGCCACACTCTGGATTTCCAATGTCTTCCCAGCCAACGGCTAATGATTCTAAAGCAGTGGTTGTTTCTGGGAATGGGTCTACCGATCAGGCATTTGGAGGTGATGCTTTTTCAGCAATCCCAATCCCATCTACCCAAAAACAAGAGTCTTCAAAACCAGCTTTTTCTCCTGGCAGTGCTTCTACCCCATCAAGCTTTCTTCCACCTTCCAGTGGGCCTCAGCCTCTTGTGAAGAAATCCAACTCACTTGATTCATTACAAAGTGCTTCTATGCAATCTACAGGGACTCAGATTCAAAGGACACATTCAGCCTTCAACCTGGGCCAACAGTTTTCAGCCCAGGGTTCCCCCCCTATAACAACATCCTCTGGGATTTCTGTTGGAGTTGGAAATTCCGCTTCTGAGAATTCCCAGATGCAGTGGCCAAAGATGAAACCATCTGATGTTCAGAAATATACAAAAGTGTTCATGGAAGTGGATACTGACAGAGATGGGAAAATAACTGGCGAGGAGGCAAGAAATCTATTTTTGAGTTGGAGGCTACCTAGAGGTAAGAGTTCTTTCGGATATTGTCCTCATTGAAACCACATTTCACATTTCATGCAGGGATCTCAATGGTACATCTATTTGGCTTGTATTATGATATGATGATATGCCTTTTTTTGTTTTGTTTTGTTTTTTTTTAAAAAAAAAAAAAAAGGAAAGAAAGAAAGAAAAGAAAAGAAAAGAAGAAGAAGAAGACATTTTGTTAACTAGATCTCACCATTTTTGTAATTATTTATCTTTTTTATCTTGTAGGACTTTGGTTGTGCATATGAATTTCTACTAACAAACAAGCATTAGATTGTACTCTAGCCTTAACAAGAATCTGGTGATTTTGGGCTTTGTGATGCCTAATTTTTTAAGTAATGGAAAGACACTGGGTGCAAAAATCTTGTTTAACAGCCAGGACTATGATATCTCTGGAATTATTTGTTCTTTTTCTAGTAATACCCTTTAGATAACTCTCTCCTTGGTAAATTGATTTCTAGTGCAGTCCTCTTGCTGCTCTTTGAAACCTTTACATGGTTTTATGTTTTTGGTTACACGTGCTTAATATTTTCTCCTGGTCTTTCTCAGAGGTGTTGAAGCAGGTCTGGGACTTGTCTGATCAGGATAGTGATAGCATGCTTTCCTTGAGAGAATTCTGCTTTGCTCTCTATTTGATGGAGCGGTTCAGGGAGGGCCGTCCTCTTCCAGCCATGCTTCCAAGGAATGTTATGTTTGATGAAACCCTGTTGTCCATGACAGGGCAACCCAATGTTCCTCATGGAAATGCAGCCTGGGGTCCCAATCCTGGTATTGGTTGGAAATTGGAATTGCTTCTAGTATATTTTCTCTTTCTTCTTTATCTTTAGGCTATTATTGTTGAATGATATCTTTGTAATTAGGTTTTGGACACCAGCCGGGGATGGGTGCCCAGCCAATGACTACAACTCCTTTTAGACCACCAGCTCCTCCAACTGCCATTCCTGCTGATAATAGTATGATGCCTCAGCAAAAGTCAAGAGCACCAGTTTTTAATGATTCCTTTGCAAACCAACTTGATAATGGTGACCAGAATTTGGTAAACTCACAGGATAAAGACGCAGCTGCTGATGGAAAAAAGGTACAGGAGCTTCTAACAAAAGAACAATGCTATGCTCTTATTATTAGTTATTACCAATCTTCTTTACCTAATTACTTCTATGATAATGTTAAATGCTATAGCTCTTATCTTTGCCTCTCTTTATGGCCTATGCTACTCAATTTTTCATTTTTGAAATTCTTATATATATATATATATATAAATAAAACATTTGGCATAACTCATCCAGCCAAATTATTGAATTTTTTGAATTTGGAATTCTCTAATGAGATAGTTTTCCTCCGGATCATTTCAAGAGTTGATTTTAGTTTAAGATGAATTATTTTGCAGTAAAAGAACAGAATATTTATTTTTTTAGGTCAGCCAGTCACTGCTTATTGCTTATTTTCACAAGAAAATACTTCTTTTTGAGTTGTTGGGAGATCACTTAGTTGATCAAGACTGCAATTTAATGTTGATATCTGTGAGTCTAAAATTTCAGGATTGCTGCAGCCATTTTTCTAATAGTTGTATCTATTATCATTATTGTTGTTTTCTTTTATTTAACTTAGAATTTGACTTCCTATATGTTTTTTGGGGCAATAGTAAGGAAGATATTTATTTGATTTGTTGTAGGAAATCAGAACTGAAAAGGTGATTTTAGATTCTAAAGAAAAGATTGAGTTCTACCGCACAAAAATGCAGGAACTTGTGAGTATTATCTGTTTCAAATTGTTTTGCTCTTTGATCTAGCAACAGTACTATAAATCTATCTGGCTGGAAAAAAACAGGACTATAATTGTGTTTATTGGAGACCTAAGTTTCTGTGTTGCTGATATAACTGCTAACATAGTTCTTGCTAACTGGATACTTGAAGCATTCTACTTTGCCTTGGATTAAGTTGAGGTTTAGCCAATGATGTTGTCTTACTTCTTGTTGAGTGTTGAGAGCTCATTAACAAGCTAAATTAGCTTAAGGGATTTACATTTAACTATTTTTTTGCAATAATGAAGATAATTGTTCCATTAATGTATGACAAATCTGATTAACTTGCACTACTCAATGTCTCAAACTGAGTGTGAAAGATTCAATTCCTTGGTGAATCTACTTCATGGGTCACATTGTGTACCTGTTTAAGCTCCTCTTATAAGGAAGGTATCTTGAAAAGTTTGAGATTTGGTGTAAAATTCTTGTTAGTTCACTTCAACCATACTGAGATAGTTTCACCACTTAGTAGTGCATTAGCAGAATGTTATTTTCATGTAGACTTGTCTGCGTTATTGGCATCCATCACACCTAAATTAGAGGAATGTATTGAAATACAATGAACTTTAACAAAGTTAAACACTTCTATCAACTAATTCTAGTGATTCATGGATGGTCAAGTGTAAGGTTCTTGCAAGTTTTGGAGCCAGCAGTGCAATAGGAAGAATACTTGGAATATGAGTTAGCCCCTTCAATTTCTGAAGCAACTCAAAATAAGTTTTATTGAGGATGGACCTATGGTGTTATGATGCTACTTTGAAAAGAAAAATACTTGACTTATGTCAATCTACTAATGTTCTCATGGTTTCTTCTTTCTCACAAATGTTGACTAGAGGTTCATAATCCTATCATTCTCATTTAAGATTATGTCTTCCTTGACCTCTCTTTTTATCAGGTCCTTTACAAAAGCAGGTGTGATAATAGACTAAATGAAATCACCGAGAGGGCAATTGCAGATAAGCGTGAGGTACTCCCTAAGATGTTAAAAATGATCTTCCCTAAAATGGATTTAATTTTTATTTATTTTGGTTTAACAATTTGAGTTACAGGCTGAAATGTTGGCTAAGAAATATGAAGAGAAGTACAAGCAAGTTGCAGAAATAGCATCTAAATTAACAATAGAGGAGGCTAAATTTCGTGAAATTCAGGTAATAACACTTTATTTTGTGGTGAGATAATGTCGAGTTGGTTCAATTATGAGCTTTCAGGAAAAACTAAACTAGCATGTCATAGCCCTTCTTTTTGTTGCATTTCAATTCTAGTTAGATATGTTTGTTTTTGAGGTTTTTTTTTTTTTTTTTATGACTCTTCTTTTCCCTTTTGTTCTGTATCCATCTTTAAAGAAGTGGTCCCTATAAACAGCCTGTTGATCACATTTTCTTTGTACCTGCAAATTCTTACCATTTGGATTTGAGGTCATGGCCAGTTCCTCCTTGCCCACAACACTCCCATTTCCCAACATAGAAACACCTTGAGGTATATCATTGCTTCATGACTTTAATTTTACTTCACCCATTCTTCAGGAGAGAAAGGCAGAGTTGCACCAGGCAATTATCAATATGGAACAAGGTGGCAGTGCAGATGGGATTCTTCAGGTAAATCTCAACCCATAAGTATATAATAATTGCTGTAGAATCGAAATACATTTTTATGATGCTGAAGCATCCATGGGTTATATAGGTCCGCTCTGACCGTATACAATCAGATCTTGAGGAATTAATGAAGGCCCTGAGTCTGAGGTGCAAGAAACATGGATATGAGCTTAAATCATGTGCAGTAATTGAGCTTCCCATTGGTACATTCTCCCATTACATTTGTAATTCATACATGAGCCTTCATTGCACTGCCACTTATTAGTTATTGTCTAGGATCTTGGAAGTCTAACTAAAATCAATTGCGGACTTCAATACTTTCTTTCCATAGTCAAGGCATCTAACTACTTTCATACTAATGCAATTTACGGATGAGGTTGCTTGATATGGCAATTCCTCTCTGTACTTTTTTTTCTCTCTCATATGGCAATCCCTTTCTACATTCTAGATTTGTCTTACTGGGTGATTTTACAAGCCCTTGTACTGTTTCTTTTCAAGCTTAAATCTCATTCAGAACCTCTCAAATTTTGAGCCAAGAATGCTACATGTTGACTAGCCCTTATGATCAGTCAAGATTCTTTTATCTGTTTATATTTCTTGTTTGGCATGGAAGTCTAAGGCTTTCATTTGTCATGTTCTTGTTGTTGTCAAAGAAACCTCTTAACTGTCAAATATGCAAGACAGAAAATTTTTAATGGTAGTCCCCATTGCCATTCTTGGACAGGACGCTCTAAGAATTTGTATATTTTCACTTGTTTGTGATAGTCTTATAGTTGAGTGAAACCAGATATACTAACAAATGTTCTCTTTTATTTTTATTGTTCAACAACTTTAAGGTTGGCAACCTGGCATCCCTGAGGTAGCAGCTATTTGGGATGAAGAGTGGGATAAGTTCGAAGATGAAGGTATGCACTGTGATCACAAAATTGGAAATTTACTAAGTTCTATGCTTCCATTACTGCTATAAAATTTTGTTAATACTGTTTACATTGTATTTTGAGAGAGATTCATGATAATCTTGTTTATCCAACATATTATTTTCACCTTCAGGATTTGGTAATGAGCTCACTATTGATGTGAAAAACCCAAAATCTCTTCAGAGGGGAAAGGCATCCCCAGATGGAAGTTTAACCCCTGATTCCTCATCATATGCTGATGATAAACATGGAAATATTTTTACTTCTGAGTATGCCATTGAGAGTGAATCAGCTTACACACACAGTGAAGATGAATCAACAAGAAGTCCTCATGGCAGTTCAGCTGGGAGAACAACCCTGGAAAGTCCATCTGACCAATTTTCTGATGGTCCTTTCAGGAAGGGTGCTGAGGCAGATACAGAAACACATAGGTATATGGGCTAATTTCATTATTTGTTCTATCACACTTGGTAGTTGGGAATTCTTTATGTCTCTTACTTTTGCACCAATTACCAACTCTTTCTCATAATACCGGTGCTAAATTCAATTGTTTTTTGTATAGAAGTTTTGATGAATCAGCTTGGGGTGCATTTGATAACGATGATACAGATTCAATATGGGGGTTCAATCCTGTCAATACAAGGGTGAGTTTTCTCATAATCTTGACATAATGTAGTACGGTCTACCATGATTGACTGCTTTTTTTTTGTTTTGGATCGACTGATGGACTGCTTATTGATCCGCTGGAATTAGTCATTAGTCTTTAATACAGGGTCTTTTTGCATCATAGTATTAATTGTCCATGGTAAATGTCATCTTGCAGGACACTGATAAGCACAGAGATTTCTTTGGTTCAAGTGATTTTGGTGTAAACGCAATAAGAACAGACTCACCTGGTGCAGAAAGTGTTTTTGACAAAAAGAGTCCATTTTTTGAAGATTCTGTTCCTAGCACTCCACTTTCCAAGTTTGGAAACTCTCCACCGAGATACAGCGAGGCGAGTGATCATTTTGACAGTTTCTCCAGGTTTGATTCCTTCAACACATATGGCGGTGGATTTTCACAACCAGAGCGGCTCACCAGGTTTGACTCCATAAATAGTAGCAAAGACTTCAGTCATGGGTATTCTTTTGATGACAATGATCCATTTGGCTCTTCTGGTCCATTTAAAGTTTCATCCGACAATCAAAGCCCTAAGAAAGATTCTAATGCTTGGAGTGCTTTCTAGCTGGGAGTCTAGAGGATTTGTTTTGACTTTTCATAAAAGGAGACAAAAGAAGGAACAGGAGCTTTCCATCCTCTTCAACCCTTCCACTCATTTTCCTGGTTTTGTTTGGGTTTTGTTCACTGTGTCTCCTCATCTGCGTGCTGTATATCTTGTTGGACTGTTGTAAAGTTGTGCTTATACCTTTGATGTTATTATTATTAT